TTGTTGTTGTTGTTGTTATTATTTATTCATTTAATTTTGTTATTATTGCTGTTCATTTTTTTATTAAATGCAAATGATCAATGTCTAGGGCATATACTGTACACTTTTATATTGGAGTGTTTTTTTTCTCTCTCTCATTTTATGTTTTCTATACAAGATGACTGTATTTTTAGACCACAGTAAAATGACTAAATGCCATTTGCCTGTAAGTTGCCTCGTGAACCATCCAAGATGGCAGACTTGCCAACAGTGTAGCACTAAAGATGGCTGCCCATTACTGTATTTTCACTGATGTGATTATTTTCTGCTTCTTGCTTATTTACTGTCAACATGCTCATAGAATGCTAACTATATTTTTCAAATGTCTATTGCAGTGTGAAAGCATTGTGGAAGAGTTGGAAGATGATATCATCTCTCTCTTCGCCAGTGAGGCTGGCCATGTGGCTAAGACGTTGTGCAGTGAAATATCAGGTATTTATGTATGGCGCAACATAACTTCTTTCATTCAGTGTTAGGCGTGTTTACACTGAAAACCTGAACCATAGTGTTGTCTTGATTTGCACTGTGCATAAAGAGTGTTCCAGTTTTTTTTTAATGCACTTTTCTACTTTACTGCTTTTCTACATACAAATATCAATGCAGTGTTTAAATTATTGTGATTTTTTTTTTTACAATGTGCTTGATTAATTGCTCCAGAATCAATTTATCACATTTATCATTATCAGTGCATTTACAGTTTCGTCTAAAGTCATTTCATCTTCATCCAGGGTGATTCTGACAGGCAACTTGGGGTTTCTCTTGCTCAAGATAGTGATAAACTGTGAAAAAGTTTCTCCAATTTCTCAGTCTTTACCACCAGCATTTAGCTTTTAGTTACATTATTAACACAGGCTAGTCAATGTTTGAAAGTATTCTACAATATACTGATAAGATCTGAATTGTAAGTTTCACTTTTTTATTAAGCTGTAATTGTAAATTTTTTTTTGTAATCAGTTGCCTTACATAGCTTTTTAATATTTCCTTGTGTTTATAAGCTTGCTCTGTTTACTTGAGTAAAGGGAGCCATTTTTACTGTTTTCTTCTCAGTTTAGTGGTGTCGGTGTGTAAAGGTCAGACCCAATGAACTCTAAGCCCTGACCCCTGGTATCCAGGGACTGTCATTAGGTGCCTGACTCCACTATTGATTAGGGGTTAATCCCCTTTTGATCGTAACTGCTGCCTAATAACAAGTGTTTGTTCAGTTCTGATTTTCCCCTCCCCTATTAGGCCGTTTCAACAGTGGGTGAAATGTTTGTCAGCCTGTTTGGTGGGAAATGTAACGCGAGTAATGCTCTGCCCTAACTGATGATGGGACTTGAATGGGAAACTTAAATTTTACCTTTGATTTGTGTACACTGTTTGGGTTAAAAACAAAAACTACAAGTATTGTTAGCGATGAGAAAGAAACCTGTTAAATCTGTTAAGTCTTGCTTCGTTGCAGATGAAACAGTTGATTAACGAAGTACTTAATTTTTTTGTTTCATGCATCTGTCTTTTTTCTTAATTTGTCATTTATCAGCTCATTGAGGTGAAGTCAGGTATTTGGGTTTTAATTGCATATTATGCTTTAAATTGCGGCTCAGGGAGCTGTAACATAATTTTGGTCAAAATCAAGTTTTTATTTGTCATTACAAATCGAAAAAAGCTAAGAGTGAGATACAGTTTTTCAAAACTGTGTAGAGGCTTGTAACAAGTCTAAAGAAAGCTGCAGCTCTCAGATGCCACTGTAAAGAGTGAAACAGTTTTGCACTCTACATGCCTGTACTGAGTTATACGTTTAGCATATTTACTTATCGCTCATAACCACCATCGCAGTGGTGCCAGAACATGACTGCTTTGGTCTTTGGTTCCTGAGTATCCCATTTCTCTTCAATAATAAGGAAGAAAAGCAGAAGCAGTGTAGCAGAGCTCGCTCACTGTTCCCTGAGAGTGACTTCACTTAAAAATAAATGCTAATTAAAGCTCGCCAAATCCCTCCCTGTTTCTCTTTTCATACTTGGTTTGGTTCACTTGCCCAGAAGCTGTAGGTGAACCCCTGCGATGCACCCCATGTTTTTAGCAGATTAACCAAAGATAACCTTCAACAGCTTTTGCTGAAAGGTCAATTTGTGTGTAAATAAACATTCAACAACTCTTGATCAGATCCTATATCTAATCTATATGTTTTTTTGTGTGCATGTTTAGACTTTTTAAACATTTTTTTAGGGAATTAAGGCGGCAAAATGAAATACCCTGTGTCCCAACACTACAATGATGCCTGCCTCTCCAATGGGAATTCAGTGAAGGATGGCATCCCTAAGAAGCCTTTTCTCTGCCTGGGCCGCCTTGCCCCCCTTCTCTTTATTCCTACAGAAATTCTTTATTGACAGCTTCTATTCAAACCCTTCAGACTGTTACGGGGAGGAATTTAATTCCCCACCATTTTCAGGATTGCATAAGGACTCGACAGAGGTTGCGGCACACCGGCCGTCTTCTGCTAGATCCAAAGGCAAGATTTTTATTGCTTTTGGACTTTTGTGCACGACAGAATCTCTCTTATTGTTCTCAATTGGTTAGCCCGAAGTCTCCTAAAGATTAATGAGTTGAATTTAGAAGTGTAATTGGTGACACTCTCAAATATGATAATTCAGTTTTAATGCCAAAGATGTCATAATACCCACATTGTATCCATATTGATACGGTTTAAACATCCTGCACCTATAGGCAAGTGATCAGCTCCTTCGTTCGCTGATTTTCCTGCTCATAGTTGTTCATATATTGTCTTATCTTGTGGTCCATCCAACTGCATTCAGCTTTTTAATTAAAAAGATGGGGGATGTGAAGATAGATTGATGTCCTTCCATGGGACCTTTTATCTTACTTGTGACCAGATGGCAGCGAGCCACGGAAGCCTCTTTATGTCACCGAGCCTCACAAGAGTGGAGGGGGTAGAGACGCACTCATAATGTAATCAGTGAGACCGGAAGGGTCCATACTGTGTCTGAAAGGGGACAATAGGGTCAGGGATATATCTACATCGCAAGAAAATCCAGCTCATCTGCAACCTGTCCTCTTTCCAATAACCCCCTCGCCCCCAACCCCGCCACCCTTTGACTGGCCTGACAAGGAAGACTTCCTGCTTTGATCATTGGAGGGTGGAAGAGATGAGCTGCCCAAGAGAACCAAAGGATGGGACTCCACTGTTTACCCTGCACTTGGCTGCTGTTGACAACTCCCCTCCCCACAAACTACTGAACTACATTGATGTTAAATTGATTTTATTCCGATGACTTGTAATTGACATGTTGAATTCCTTAGTTCTTTTTAACCTCAATTTAGTTTCAGTAAACTTGACATGGCATTAATGGTATTACCATTGTGATTTATGAAGCGTTTACCTGTGAGAAAAGAAAATAAAATGTTTCAAATATAGTGGTTAAATGATTCATTTGTTTTCATACTTGGCACATTTTATAAGTCTGAATAATTTGTGAGGAACTGTTAACAGGCCCGTAAGATGCAATGGCAAAAAGAGTTTGTCTCAAATCGATTCACAGCACAGTCTGCTTTTTTTCGTTCTGATGTCCCATATCTGTCCAAGTCGGGCTTTTGAACATGGCCGCTGGGTAAGCATGATGGCATGCCTTTCGCACCCTTCCCTCACAGCTCCCTCCATGCAGAACTACGCATGCGCCGCTGTGGCAGCAGCACAGGGGCAGGTCCTGCTTTGGGAGAGTAAAGGAGCAAGAGACGCCATGATTGCTCAGCTCTGTGAGCTGGTCTGGATATGGGTGTCAGCCAAATCACTGAGGGGGAAAATGACAATACTCGCGGCATTCCTTGATATTGTTGCATTGTTTAACAAGTCTGCTCTCTGTGCACAGTGGGGAAAATGTTAGATATCACAAGGATATATTCAGGAATCTACATGATGCCCGTTTCTTTTGGGAAATGTAATGCCTGGGTGTTTCAGATGATCGGTTGATGTAAATGAGTAAAGTAATATTCACTTTTCTGCAATTTATGAAGTCATTTTTTTAGGTTTTTGCTTAAATTTAATGCGTAATCCAAAGAAAAGTCATTTGAAAACTTTATTTATCTTTAGAACTTTTATCAAAGAATATAATTTATAGAACAAACACATAACATTCTTTATTTTTATTAATTTTTTTAATGAGTGTAGACTAGTAACCTTGGGATTAAATCACTGCCCTTGCAAGGTTTTTGGACCCAAAAGCCCTAGATCAGCTAATAAAATACCTGGAGAGCACCATCATAAGTTCAAAGTTATGCAATGGTTGAAGGCTGTTTACCTTAACATGAACTTTGCTGTTCTTGCAAGTTTTTCAGTTCTCAGATCACTTTTTTTTCTTTTTTTTTATTATACTAAACTGAAATTTGGTATGCATATAACTAACCCTTCTCAGGAAAACTGCTTGCTGTTTAAAAAGTGGGTTGTGTTGTAAGCTACAAAGTAGCTTATTTCTATTGTGTTTACCCAGCTCTGTGTATGTGCTTTGAGTTTAAGTATGACCGATCACGTGTTACCAAGGTGCATTGGGCTGTGACTCAAAACAAAGGGAAGTGGAAAAATAAACATCAATTTCCCATGCATACAAAATGCTTTCATGCTAGCTGCCCTGAAGTGGAGACAACCATTTTTTTCTTGATCATGTCAACTGTATGATTAACCATTTTGTACAATTACCCAAGTCAGAATGGACCTAAAGTTTTACACATTGAAAAAATGTAAGTGAAATTTGATCTCTCCCTTAAATTCGCTATAAAGTTCAACCGCTGAGCTGTGGCGTTAACTTGTATTCTAACAAGATTAAAATATATTTGTCCTGGAGATTAGCATACTTAAATCCTTTTTTGCTTTTTCTGAACTGGCAGTGTGCTTTGATCTGTGTTGCGTGGCAAGAGCCTGGCTTTGGCTTGGCCATCCGAGTGCCAAGTGTGAAATTGGCCTGATGTCATCCCCATTCTTCACTCTCTACAACTCATAATGTAATCAGTGAGACCGGAAGGGTCCATACTGTGTCTGAAAGGGGACAATAGGGTCAGGGATATATCTACATCGCAAGAAAATCCAGCTCATCTGCAACCTGTCCTCTTTCCAATAACCCCCTCGCCCCCAACCCCGCCACCCTTTGACTGGCCTGACAAGGAAGACTTCCTGCTTTGATCATTGGAGGGTGGAAGAGATGAGCTGCCCAAGAGAACCAAAGGATGGGACTCCACTGTTTACCCTGCACTTGGCTGCTGTTGACAACTCCCCTCCCCACTGCTTACCCCCCGCCCTCCAGCCTTTTCACTCTCTCCGCCCCCCGTCACCCTTTCCCCTTTCCCCTTCCGGGGGAGGCCAAAGGGGCGGGAGCAGGGTGCACCTTGACCTGTCTAGACACCACAGTGTGTTTTTGTTCTGTTGCCAAGGCAAGGGAATCTACTTTTACAACTTTGGAGATGCAGGTTAAAAGTCAGCGTCGTGGCACAGGGGATGTGTTTAGATGGGAACGGAAGGAAAAGGTCATCTAAGTGACCTCAGTGCCCTACTTTTTCTTTGTTTTTCCCCATAGAAGGATTTTGGTGACTTAGTCAACTAGTATTTATATAACTTTATTCTGATTTCTTTTTCTGATAGGTTCCTCTGGCTAGGTCTGAGGCTTACTTAACTGAACTGCTTGAAGAAGTTTGCAATAGCATGAGCGATTATGCTCTCTATGAGGACCCGGACACCAAAGAAAAGAGCTACAAGAGATTTGCACCAAGAGGAAATGATGGCGTGAATTTTCCCGATTTTAAACATTTTAAGTTTGATGGACCAGAGAGTTCCAGTGCCTTGAAGTTTGCTGTGAGTATAAATTTGATATATTTGTCATTGTGTATATTAGTATTTTTGACCGGCCTATATACACATTAAAAAGTGAGTTTCCCACATTTTTTCAGAAGCTTTTTCTTAAATCCTTTTTTGCTTTTTCTGAACTGGCAGTGTGCTTTGATCTGTGTTGCGTGGCAAGAGCCTGGCTTTGGCTTGGCCATCCGAGTGCCAAGTGTGAAATTGGCCTGATGTCATCCCCATTCTTCACTCTCTACATCTTTCACTGCCTTAATTATATTTCCGCCACAAAGCCCCAGCTCTTCATTGCATATTCAAGTTTGACTAAGCATTCAAAAACTATAGATAAATGACTCCGATGGAATGGGGACAAGATAGGCCTTTCTCTGATACGCAGACAAGGGAGATCAACACCGTTCTGATATGTATTTTCTTTTCCAGAGTGACTGGCCTCAGGAACCCCAGCCATTCAGACTTTGGAAAGAACTGTTTAGGGAGAGGACTGTGTGTGTGTACCTGTTTTTCTATTCTGGTGGGGACTTAAACCTGAATACACAGACTCATGGGGACTCGTGTCACAAGCTAATAAATCACACAGGATGAAATTTTTTGAAAATCTAAAAATGCAGAAAGTTTCCTGTGAGGGGTAGGTTTAGGGGTAGAGTTGGTGTAGAAAAAGTAGAAAAACCATTACGCCTATGGAGAGTCCCCACAAGGATAGCTGACCAGACGTGTGTGTGTGTGTGTGTTTATCAGTTCATCAGTGATTAAAAAAATGAAAGAATTCACATCCAAATCAGGTCCTTTGAGGTGAACTGGGATGGACATCAAACTTTTTAAGCCGGCCTTTTGGAGCTTCATATTTTGTCTGTCCAGACAACCATCCAGAATTTTTCGGTATGACTTCTTGGACAAAATAGTTTAAGCAAGAGTGAGAGTTTTGGGGAATTTCTGCATTCCAGATGCAGAGCTGGACCTGAGTTCTAGGAATCTTCTCGGACCATCTCATCTCAACTTCGATTGCAGAAATGTTCTGTTCGTTTCTGAAGTGAAACCAATTAATGAGATGCCTTTAAGATCCGTGCTGAATTCGGAGGTGATTAAATGTGGGCGAAGTGAAACGAGCCACCTGCAGCTGTGACAGGAGGCTTTGACCTTCAACGGGGTCTCCCGGCCACAGACTTCAATTCAGGAGCCTCGCTGCGCGTCTGAGCGGCAACTGCCTTTTTCTTCCCAGTGAAGCTCATCAAGTCAGTGACCGTTGGGCGTTACTTCCACATACAAGCTTGGCAAGAATAGAAATGCAGATGAGATTCTCTGGCATTGAGGAACAGGTCAATGCTGGGAATGGTTCTCAGAGATAGCTCGCCTTTTGTGTTGGACCTTTTCAGTTATACGACTTTTCTAGAAATGTTTTCTTGGCATCAGGTAACACTGAAGTATGTGTAAAGTTTCTGGTAAGGGTTACGAGTGCAACCATGTCAACTAAACCCCGTCTAGAGCAATATTTACAAAGTTTATTAACTCCGTATTGATAGCATCTCATTTAGTTCATTTTTGAGTATTTGCGCAAAATTACTTTTTAGACGCTTTAGGTAACTTTAACATTTAAGAGGTGATAAATCCTGGTTATAACTTGTGTGTAAATTAGACGTAGTTTAAACAAAAAGTGTCACCGTTTTTAAAGTAGCCTATGTGTTAAATACTTTATAAACTTCTAGTTACATTTTTATTTTTATTTTTTATAGTTTAGTTTTTATTTGTTGTATTTTTAACACTCGGAATTTTACGAGCGAAATTACTTCTATTAGCAGCATTTGGACTCCCCCAAGTGTTGACAGTTGGACTAAATTTGGCTTTATACATTATAGTTTAGTTTGTTTATTCATTTTTGTTCCAACCAAATCCCATTAGACGCCAAATAAACCCTCGGACGGAACCAGATGGGTACCATGACCCAGAATAAAAGAAAAATGACTTCTGATCATTATAGATTGAGTTTCACCAAAGACAACTGTTTTTTTTAAACTGGTTGTTGCTGCGGCTCATGCAGTAGGCTACATGTCAGTGTGGCCCGTTTTGAAGTAGGCCTACACAAACTTTGTTACCGTGAAACGAATTTTTCATTTTATGTTTGGCTGTACAAGATTTGGTGAACTTTGCTGCTTCCCAGTATAGGATATTTTACCCTAACATTTTAGATAAAGAACCTCGTGCTCTGAATGCCCCGCCTACTTTTAGGGCTGAATTTGATTCATTGAAAAGCACAAATCACCATTACAACTGTTTTTTTTAAACTGGTTGTTGTTGCGGCTCATGCAGTAGGCTACATGTCAGTGTGGCCCGTTTTGAAGTAGGCCTACACAAACTTTGTTACCGTAAAACGAATTTTTCATTTTATGTTTGGCTGTACAAGATTTGGTGAACTTTGCTGCTTCCCAGTATAGGATATTTTACCCTAACATTTTAGATAAAGAACCTCGTGCTCTGAATGCCCCGCCTACTTTTAGGGCTGAATTTGATTCATTGAAAAGCACAAATCACCATTTAAAGTTATTTTGCCTTTTGTTCATTAATGCAATGTGCTGCTTAACATTGCCTTCTTTTCAGACATTTCTGACCATTTGAAAACATTATTTATAAGCTCTGCAAAGCGGTACAGGCTACATCTTATTGCATACCAGTTTTCTTTTAAAACTGTTACACGAATAATCAAATTATCTACCTCTGTTTAATGTCACACTAAATCCTATTGAAACTGGTATGAAAAAAATAAATAAAATGGTGTATTTATCTTTCAATGATACCACCGTTTAAATTTATTACAGTCGCGTCTTGCTTAAGTTCAGTTCTTTACATTATTTCCGTCTTTATTGCCTTACAACACTTGTGGACAGATCTTATATTTTTTTTTGTCTACATCTGTTTTTTTTTCAAGTTAAAGATATAAAACGTTTTGCAATTTTTTTGGAGGCAGTGGTTGTGATGGTCATTTGTTTTCACAATATGTACATTTTAAGTTTTTTTTTTTTTTTTTTTTTTTAAATGGGGACACAATATATAATGCTGACAAAATTTTAAATGATAGGCTAATTTTAAAATAACATTTTAGGAGAGTTGCTTTTTCAGCTTAGTAACAATTATCATTTCACACTTTCACAGTAGCCTATATTAAAAAAAAGGATCAAACGAAAATGCTTCTTTAAAAAAAAAAAAACTTGCCGGATATCCATTTGGAAAAAGAAGATGAGAATTTTTATTGTACATCCCCAGCTAAATTCAACAGACAACAACTCAAGTCAAGTACTTGCATTATAAGTGTAGTTTTGAGGTTTACTGACTCGTATGCATTCAGATGTCTGATCTAGTTCCTGAAAATGTGAGGACATAGGATGTGTAGCATCCTTGACGGATAGTATTTTAGACCATAGATCTTTTAAATACAATATACTGAATTATTGTAAGCATGATATGATGATATGCAATGTTGTCTTTTTTTAAATACCATGTCTCTGTAACACAAGTCAATAAAGTAAAACAATTCATAATAAAATTATGCATGGAAACAAACAAACATCTAAATCAGATAAAACATTTTACCATTTATTTTAAATCACAGTCGCCTGAATGCAGCAGGAAAAATCTTTGGACTTCAGCATTGTTTAAACACGTTCACTTGTGGCTCAACGTCAAGTGTCAATCAAATCGCTCCCCTTTTTTAAATAAAGAAGCGTCCTTTTTCTCGCGCATCTGAAGTTTCAGTAAGTGTACAGCAGTGATACTAATTGAAAAAGTTGTATACCACTGTACACATAAAGTATATATATATTTACATATAATATTGCAGAATCAAATCTCATACATAAAGTTTTCATCCGTTTAATGCTGGTATTTTGTACACTGGCCCTTGTTTAGAATTATTGCATTTCAGATGTCCTGTCCTTCACGTTAATCACTGTCTGATTTGTCGTCCTTTGTTGCTGAGGCGTGATTGTATAGTCCTTGTGCCATCAGATGCAATGCAAGTGAGTTTTTGCTCCCCGACGCTTTTTTAATCTTCGCTCTTTTGTTTTGAAACCAGATTTTGATTTGAGACTCGTTGAGGCCGAGTTCCTGGGCCAAAGCTCGTCTCCTCTGCTCCGTCAGGTAACGGTTATTCTGGAATTCGTTCTTGAGTCTCTGGAGTTGCTCCGCTGTGAAGGCTGTTCTCGGACGCTTGTCTTCCTTAGTTGGATTGTTCATCTTTGGTTTGCGGGATCTCGGTCCTGCATTTCAGAAATGAACGAAAGAGATTACATTTTGCTCGTGCGTGCCGTAAATGCATATTAATGTTGCATCAGTATTTTCAATAGATATTAGTTGTTTAATCATATCAAGATTAAAAATAGGCTAATACAACAATAATATTTTCAATAGTAGTGTTATTTAGAGTTACTCTTATTGGATGAAGGATTCTTTCAGATCGAATGTTTCAGGGAGTCTGCTCTAGTTTTGACTATGGAAGCATGGTGTAGTGGTGGTGGGGGTGGGGTGACTGCCAGAAAGGGAGGGGTGAAAGAGGCTTTCCCCTCTTTCTGTTACCATAGGAACTACATTTATAAGAGAACGTTTTTTTGTAAACTTGCTCTAAGAGTAGCACCTGTCGTTCAATGCTAGTAGCTTACCCACTGCAAATTCTATTTTTAGTTAGGCTAATTCTTAGGTAGCCTCCTCCAGTGCACCCAAAGGTTCGGCGTGGCCTGAATACTGACAATAGATTGATCGGCAGCCTATGAGATGAGCCCTTGCTCGCACCCTATTTTTACACCTTTTATTTAGCTTAAGCTGAGTAAGATTTCTATTGTAGACTGCTGTTATGATATTGCCTAATATTAATATTTTCACGTCGTATCATCGAAAAATCAATTCAAGTAACCATTAAACGTACTCCCATCATGACAAGGGGTTCATACACCTTTTAAGTTAGTCTGGCCTTTCCAAATATTCACCCCTAGCTAACAATGTAGTATGTTTTATTGTGTAAAAACTTTGGTAAAATTATGTTCAGAGACTGCATATTAGAAATGGGCTAAGATGTATTCGCCAGATTATTGTGGGACATAATCATAAGTTTCTACGTGACAAAAAAAAAAAAAAAAAAACTTGCGTTGCCACTTTCTCGGAAGGCCGTTTTGTGCGCAGTTTGACCTTCATTTGAAATTAGTTAATTACAAATGCTGATTAGGCCTAATATTGTCTAAAATTGTCTGGATTTTTTTTTTCTATGCCGGTACGTGCAGGAATAGCATATTTATTTTGAATACTCTCTTTTGAAGAGATCTGATTTAGCATTTAGCTTCTGTGGTGCGTCCAACTCCATTGTCAAAAATATGCTAATTAAATATCAACAAAGACAGCGAAGTAACAATGGCGCAAAAACTACCCGTTCCTTTTTTTGAAAATAATGCAAATAAGGCAAAAATGTATCA